CTGCCCCCCTCTGTCATAGAACATGGACACTGACAAGTAACCAAGGAATGGTTTGATCACACAATCAACATGCAACATTTTGTTCTAAAAGATACAAGCCATGCATGGCACAATCCCCGTTAGTTATCAAATTTAAGATATATAGTTATGTTTATAGTAATATAGCTGGAATATAACCATGTCAGGAATATGATTTGTTTAACATTAAAATGATTGACATTTGTATCTGATCGTCAAACAAGTACTTGTCCATATTGAGAGATATTGCTCTGGAACAGCATTCAAAATCAGCCATTTTGAATACATGTATATATATATATAACATGATGTATAACGAATATATAAAATTTGAATATAATCAGTCAAAGCATTTAAGAGATATGGCTCTAGAAGCCCAATCATTAAAACAAAATGGCCGCCAGTCAGCTATTTTGAATCCAATCTGAAAAATAAAATGACATGCATCAGGAACCTGTAATGTCTAATGTGTGTTATAAGTTTGAACAAAATCCATCCATAAATGCAAGAAATGCTTGATATTCGAGGATTTTTTTAGCACAAAAATAGCACACTTTGAAAAAGATCATCAAACCAATATATCCGTGACATGATGTGTGATGAATATTAAAAATTTGAACATAATCAGTCAAAACAAGTCAGACATATGGGTCTGGAAACCCATTCATTAAAAAAAAATGGACTCCAGACAGCCATTTTGAATCTGATCTGAAAAATAAAATGACATGCATCAGGAACCCGTAATGTCTAATGTATGTACCAAGTTTGAACGAAATCCATCCATAAATGCCAGAAATGCTTGATATTTGATGATTTTTTAGTACAAAAATGACAACCATTCGGAATAGGATTGTCAAACCAACATATCTATGACATGATGTATAATGAATATTTAAAATCAGTCAAAACAAGTTGGAGATATGGCACGAGAACCACATTGATTAATACAAAATGGCCGCCAGTCGGCCATTTTGAATGTATGCATGAATGCATCAAGGTCCTATAATGTCCAACGTATATAAAAGGTTTGAACAAAATCCATCTGTAAACAACTGGGAAATGCTCGATTTTGATGATTTTTAGCACAAAAATGGCCGCCATTTGGCCATCTCGAATCAGATCATGAAACAAATTGACGTGCATATGTATGATATCATGTATGATGTATGTGTGAAGTTTGATTGTGATTGGTCCAGGCATTTCTAAGATACAGGTCCAGACGCACGCACGCATGCACGCACGCACGCACGGACACACAGAGGTCGAAACATAAGTCCCCGTTTTCGGACTGCGTCCGAACGGGGACTAAAAATAACTGAACACATGTTAGTCTATGGTTAAAACAAACAGCAGTTTCTTTCACACTCACTTGCAATATTTCTCAAACTGTCAAGATTGCCTTGCAATTTCACAAGATCTCACAGTACTCTCATACCTTCACCTGCCATTCCTCCTCCGCTGTATAGAGGCATCTTGACTTATTCCAATTTAGGCATGGATCTTTGGCAAGACATTATGCCTAGTTGCCTTCAACAGAAAGTACAGAAGAGTGGGGTTACTCTAGAGGAACCATGTTCGACACGGTTCTCAATTTGTTAATATATATTTCAACAGCCGAGTGTTGTACAACCAAACAAGTCAATGAATACCTAAAATATGGTTTCAAACAAAGCCTGATGTCACATTTATTCTGATTGGCACTTATGACAAATACAAACTCAAGTCAGTAGCAAGATACCTTCCTTTAATGGTCTGTCATGATTGGCCATTTAGGAACAGGCAAAAAAAATTTACATGCCTATTTAGCCATCTTTGAAGAAATCACGACACGTATGGATAGTCTTATGTATGAACTTTATGAATCATGGCACTGCATATTTTTTAATACAAAATGGCCAAAAAAAAATTGTTTTGTTGCCCTCAGAATATGTAATATTGGGTGGCTTTATTTCCCCCCCCCCCACCCATATACCACAGCTATCTACAATACCCTTAGTTTTCATGAGTTTAAATTCGACAGACCCAATTTTTCGACTTGATGGCAACACAAGTTGTGTTTTTTGGCCTAACATTTAACCATATCTGGAACATTAAGGCATGCATCAAGGTCCCATTGTATTTGTTTCCAATATTATAAATTTGTGATAGATTCACTTCATTAAAATGGCTGCCATTGATCCATACTGAATAAAATAAATGCATGTCTGATGTACATGCCAAGTTGAAACTCTCAGTGCGTGTAGGAAATACAGACAGATACGACTAAAAATCATTCGCAAATTAAAACAAGTCATTGTCAATGACACGTCCCCGTTCCGTTCATATTTGAGTGACATATACATTCAAAGCAGATCATGACCGAAATGCACCTGCATATGTACAACACATTGTGCTAAATCTGAACAAAATCCATCCATGCATGACTGAGATCCGGTTCTGGAATTGTGAAAATACGTGATTTTGATGCATTTTCGGCCTTAAAATGGCCATCATTTCGCTATTGTTAAGCAGATCATGAAACAAAGGCACATATCTATTTGTGACATGATGTACCATGTGTGTGTGAAGTTTGAACTCGATCAATCCAGATATGTCTTGGATACGGATCCAGAACTGAATTCTTTAAAACAAAATGGCCGCCAGTCGGCTATTTCGAACTTGATCCGGAAAAAAAAA